GGCAGACACGGGGCAGCCTCAGGTGTGGGTGGAGATAGGGCAGGAGGGCATCTGATTACCATGAGCACTGCCCAGGGAGTCACAGCAGAGGCATGGGAGGTGACTGCGGGTACCGGGAAGTGACAAACACAAGATTTAAACACAGGTCAAGGAAACTGCAGAAGAGATGCCCAGGTGACATTGACAGGTAAGAACTGCTGGCCACAACTGCTGCATGAGCAAAGGAGAATGGACACCAGTGCTTGGGGCCTGAGCTGAGCTCCTTTGTGTGCATTTTCTTATTTAAGTTTTCCAGTAGCCCCCAGGGCAAAGGTATTATCATTCCCATTTTAGAGATGAGGAAACGAAAGTAAAGTGACTTGTTCAAGGTGAAGGTCAGGGCTGCCAAATTCCATAGTACACACATATCCTTCCCCCCACACCCCCTTACTCAAGCATCTGGTCTCCCTGGAACCATCTGTGGGCGTAAAAAAAAAATTACATATAACGCAGTATACTGTTTTGGTATTTGATTCAGTGAGTTTTGATAAATGCATAGATGGGGTGGGGTTTATTCAATTTTTTTTGAGCTCATTTTACATTCGTGCAGTTTTGGGAAATGTACAGGGAAATCTCATGCACTCCTATTCAGTGTCCCCCAGTACCACGTCCTACCAAACTATAATGCAACATCACAAACAGGGAATTGTCACCGATGCAGTCAAGGTACAGAGCATTTCCATCTCCAAGGAATCCCCCCAGTGCCTTTTGTGACCATGCCATCTCCCTCCTGCCCCCACACCCCTTCCCAAACCCCTGGCAACCACTAATCTGTTCCCGAATGCTCCAGTTTGTCATTTTCATTAAGTGATATAAATGGACACGTACAGTAATAAACCTCTGGGCGCTGGCTTTTTTTACTCACCATCATTCTCTGGAAGTTCATCCAAGTTGTCATGCATAGCCCTGGTTCGTTCCTTTTTCTTGGGGAGTAGCATTTTACATTGTGAATGTACCACCGTGTTTATCCCTTCACCTGGTGAAGGGCATCCGGATGGCTTCCTGGCTTTGGCTGCTGTGAACATTTGTGTGCACGTTTTACGTGAACATAAATCTCAGTTTTTCTGGAGTAGATGTTAAGGAGTGCTCTCGCTGACAGTTGCTGGAGTGGGCATTTGAAGGGTGTATCTGGGATGGCGGAGGAGAGCAGGGGGGTACGCCCTGGCCCACCAGGGCTGAAATCCTAGCTTTGAACCAGACCTTGCATGAGTTGCTTTATATGGCTGTAAAATGGAGATAAGTGAACCTGGCTTATAGCTAATGTATGTAGAGCACCTGGTACCCAGTATGTGCTCAGCAGACACATACTGGTCTGTGTTGGTTCTTCAGTGGGTTAAGAGAAAACCCAACAGTCCAAAGCAGGGTCTGTGCCCTAGAGGTGGCATCTGGGAGGGCTTTGTCAGGCTTTCATCTTGTCCCCTGTAGGACCAGTTACTGCCTTTTCTTTTTCTTGCTGTTTTTTTGTTTGTTGGTTTGGTTTTTTTGAGTTGGAGTCTCACTCTGTCGCCCAGACTGGAGTACAGTGGCTGTTCCTGGCCACCGCATCCTCGACCTACTGGGCTCCAACGATCCTTCCACCTTGGCCTTCCAAGTAGCCGGAATTACAGGCATGCACTACCATGCCTGGCTGATTTTTTGATTTATTGTAGAGA